TCAGAGAATGGTGTAAATTGTCAACCCCTCTGTGTATAAATTTAGGTCTTTCTGGAAGAAAAGGTTTTATACCTGGATCTTGTAATAAAATTGGCCAGAATTTAGAGATTGTCTTAATGTCAAAAGAATTTTACTGTAAAGAAGCAAAAAGAATATTAAATGATGAATGTACCTATAAGAAATTGACATATAATCCGAGTAACGAGATGAATCAAATATTTCAAAGTTTCTTTAGAAAAGGGATAGAGTTAGAAATCTTAAACGAAAAAGAATACAACTATTTAAATATGAAATATCCTAAAATCCCAGTGTTATATTTCCTCCCCAAGGTTCATAAAGACATTGTGAATCCCCCAGGTCGACCAATAGTGGCGGGGATTGATTCAATATCTAGCAGATTGTCTCATTATGTAGATATTCATCTCCAACCATTAGTAAAGAAGACTACCTCATATATTAAAGATACCATTATGGTTTTAAATCTTTTGGAAAATTGCACTTGGAATAATGATTGTTTTTTAGTCACAAGTGACGTTACAGCTCTTTATAGTAACATCCCACACCAATATGGTTGTAATGCTGTTAAACATTTTTTAAGCGAAAGTCCAGATTTTACAGATAGTAAAACTAAATACATCTTAGAAGGGATTGAGTTAATTTTAAATAACAATTAATTTTGGTATGGAGAGGACTTCTACCTCCAGATTAATGGGACGGCCATGGGAACCAAGTTTGCCCCCAGCTATGCTAATTTATTTATGGCCCATTGGGAGAATACGTTTATTTATGGCACTCATTGCTGGGGGGAAAGCTTGGTTACCTATGGTCGTTACATTGACGATATTTTCTTTGTATGGAAAGGAGAAGAAAAAGATCTTATTGAATTTTTAAATATTCTAAATGAGAATACCTGGGGTATAACGCTTAATAGCAATTGGAGTAAGACGGAAATAATTTTCTTAGATTCATTGATATACATTGAAGAAAACAAGATTAAAACTAGAAACTATTATAAGACGGTAGAAGCTAACAGCTACATAGAGAGGGAAAGTTGCCACTACTCTCCGTGGCTTGAGAATGCCCCTAGAGGACAGTTTTTACGTATTAGGCGTAATTGTACTGATCTAACTGTGTTTGAGACCCAATCTATTAAAACTAAAGAAGATTTTACAGAGAAAGGATACGAGGAGTTAAAATTGGAAATGGCCAGGAAAGAAGTAAGGATGATAGAAAGAGAGAACCTTCTGAAATATAAGGACAAAAGGGAAAATACATCTATGGAACTCCCTTTTATATGCAATTTTAGCACAGACAACAAAAAAGTGAGAAAAATAATCTCTAAATTCTGGCCAATTTTATTACAAGATCCAGGTGTAAAACCTTTTCTTCCAGAAAGACCTAAATTTATACACAGAGGGGTTGACAATTTACGCCATTCTCTGACTTCAAGTTTTTTGAAAGAAAAGAAAAGTACGAATACTTTTTTAAATTCAGATAAGGGATTTTTTGGGTGTGGCCAATGCCTAGCGTGTAAAAGGTCTAATAATAAAAAAAGGCATATAAAGCTCTTTAGAGATAAAGGTGGTAAAGAATATCAAATTAAAGATTTTCTGAGTTGCCACTCAAAAAACCTCATTTACTTAATGATCTGCCCTTGCGGTCTATGCTATATAGGGAAAACCACCAGACCCCTACATATCAGAATTGAAGAACATAGCCGCAACATTTTAAAAGGTTTTGAAAAACATAGTGTCTCTTTACACTACAAAATTGCACACAAATGTGACATGAAAGACACTACGTTTTTAGGAATTATAAAAGTTAAAAAGGATTGGAGGGGAGGTAACTTTGACAGCAGCAAAATTGAGATGGAGTGGATCTTTAAATTAAATACTTTAATCCCGAACGGTCTAAATGCAGACTTTGAGATGTGCCATTTTTTAAAATAAATGCAAAATTATTTTATGGTTGCACTTATACTTCCCTTCATTGAATTATGACCTTCTTCCCCTTTTTTTTTTTTTTTTTTTATGTGAGCATTGACTGGACTATGTTTCAACTTTTATTATATACTATATTAAGATAATATCTGAAATTAGACATTTATAAGGTTTTTAAATGTTGTATAACAATTGATTCATTTATTAATATTTACTATCTTTTATAAATTCATCTGTTTAACAATGATATAAGATCACAATATGCATGTAAAATGGTCACCTTGTGTTAACACACTTATGTCAGAAATAGGAATAGAAGAAAAAACTATAGAATGGAATTTAGGCATTAATGGTCTGAATGTACAAATATAAGGCTTGTATATGTTGGGTAATGAAAGCTTGTTAATTCCACATATGTGTCAAACTCATTTAAACTTATATTTCCCCTCAAAAACCGCCAATCCGGAAATCCTGGGGAAATAAATGGTGACCCGCACGGTGGAACGCAAGGTGAACCGCATGGTGGAACGCAAGGAAGTGACATATCGGCGAAACCGGAAATGACGCGGCGGAACAGAAAACCCGGAAATAAACAGAAAAAAGGCTTGGAACGCAGGGCGTCACCATTTCTATGGTGATTGCCCGCGAAAATACAAGCCTGCACACTAATTATCTCACCCCTGAGAGGGGTACATATAGCAGGGAGGATCCATGAGAAGTTTGAATCACCACATCCAGCTGAGGAAGCCTGTAAGGCGAAACGCGTACTGGAGAGACTGTGAGACTTTGGACTTTTGGATTTTATGCCAATTTGATATTGTTTTTTATTGTTTTATATATATATATATATTTTTTTTTTATACATTTACTGTTACAATAAAATTATTACTCTTTTATACTATATATTGGCATTTCCCTGCTATTTTTTATTTTTTTTGTATAATTTTTTTTAAAAGAAGGTGTGTGGTCCTTAACTACACAAGTGTGTGGATTAGAGCCGATCTGGATGGCTCTAATTTTGTGAGTATTACATTTTATATTTATCTCACATTGAAAATAATTACGATACTGCACATATACGGTTTCTACTTCTATAGGAAATCAAGGACACCTATACACAAGAAGGGTGAGGATCGCCTTTACGGACCCCAAGAGCGCAGATATTGAGCTATTCCATATTAGCTCCTAAAATTGTGAGTGGGAAATTTTCCCTTCTTAATACTCTATAACAGACTTTATTATACAGTTTGCACTATGTTTGGTTTGTCTGTTTTTTATGTCTTGTAGAATTTATACTCTTATGTGAATATAAAGACATAAAGAATATTCAAGGTAGTATTGGTATATACCAAGTTTTCTATCACTACCCTTTTATTTAAATATAGCGCTACACCACAAGAGTTTTTTGGGTTCCTATTCTTGTAAGATAAGAACTAAGTGTGATAGCAGCTTTCTTTAGTTATTTGGAACACAGTTCACTGGTTGGGGAATATTTAGCGCTGGTACACCCCCTTTCTTTTTCCTTTGTAAATACAATTATCTAGTCCATTCCCAGGTAGGGGAGGAGGGGGGAGGGGGTCGGCTCTCAACAAGATTAGAAAGGGAAAGGTTCACTAAACAGTTTCTTCTCATATATACAACCTAAAATGGGGATACATTAAGGATGATGCTAATTATAGAGAGGGAAATAGGGATAGTTATAGGAGGTTACAATGTCCACAGTGAGGGGAAAGGGGTATCAAGGAAAGTAGTAGAATCCACAAAACAAAATGCAGTAAATCCTATAACTCTTCCTGCCTGCACCTTAACAGGGGCTTAAATGCTGTATAGATCCATTGCTGTTCTGACAAATATACTAGCTGCAGCTACCTGCCAAATGCTAGGCTAAATAGTAGAGTTAACTTCTCCTAGTTCTCCCTGTCTGCACCTTCGTGGGTGCTAATAATAGTATGTAACTCACTTGCTCCTATTCTA